CCATGATAACAATTGAAGGCAGCTAAAGGTTTTATTAAAAACTGATTAAATGAAAATACATCTCTTTAATGGAATATAATGTATAGTCATTAAAAATAAAATATTGTTCTAGTTCAGAGGTAAAGTAAAATAAACACACTTCCTTTTTTTCTTCCTGCTAAAATACAGGGTCAAAAAAAAAAAACCAAAATAATAGTCTGGAAAGGTATAGAGCAAAACGCAGATCGGCTACTAGGTGAGAAGAGATCTTGGAACCCAAAGAACTATGTAATAATAAGTTTCTTAAATTGAGTTTTTGTCTGTTTGTTTTCCATTTTATTCTCTCATATTCTGTTCTGGGAGCTGGAGAGGTTGGTATCTCAGAAACACCAATAAACACAGATGTTTGTTAAAAAAGAGAGAAGAGAAAAAAGTCTCCTCTCTAGTCATAGAGCTCTGGGAGCCTATTGGATAAGGAGTTGCACTGCCGTACCAAAGGCAGCTAGTTTGAATCTACCGCCTACCCTGAAGGGAGGAAGATTGGCAGTCTCCTCTCCAGTGTTATTTACAGCTTTGAAAACCAGCTGGGCTGGTCAGCTATGAATCAGTTCTGACTGGTCTGCTGTGTGAGAAATCTCTAGTCACAGATCCAGAAAAGGGTCATCACAAGACAGACATATTGACAGTAATCATCAAATGCCTCAGTAAAAGCTGAATAATGGAGCATGAATGAGATCCTAGCTGGGAACCTGAATTTATCTCTCCACCTGATGAAATGGAAAGACATTCATTCACTCCTTTTGCCTCTTCTTCTTCCATTTATACAGTGTTATAGGAAAGCTCCCAAACAGAGATTTAAATACAGTTCAGTCTTGTTTTATTTTTTTTTAAACGTTTATATTTTTAAACTTTTTCTTAAAGTGAAAAGTTGAAAACTTTGGGCTTTCATTCAATCATTCATACATTTGTTTTAGAACATTAATTACAATTGAGTGAAGTAATTAATTAATGATGTTTGATCAAAAGATATACTCCCTTTCCCTTCACCCAACTTACCTATTTACTAATTTATCCTCCCATACCCTACCCTATCTCTGATAACTGTCATACCACTAAAGGAGTTAGGTGCTTCCTGAGAGAGTTGGGACTAGAAATACCATTTGATCCAGCAATCTCACTACTAGATACATATTCTAAAAAAAAAGAGAGAGCTCCACTTGAGCAGATATTTCCACACGCATGTTCATTGCAGCATTAATTACAGTAACAAAGAGATGGAAATAACTCCTGTGTCCATCAATAATAGGCCAGTAACCAAAGAAACTATAGTACATTTGCACAATGGCGTACTATGCAACACTGAAAAACAATAAAAATTCAGTAAATATTACCTAACATGATTGTATCTAGAGGATATTATGCTAAGTGAAATAAATCAGTCTATAAGATCACTATTCTGAAAGGCTAAGCAAAGGTTTACATACACATCAGCTAGAGTTATTCTTGATAGTTACCATTCAGAATCTTATAATATAGACCTCAAAGTGAATACAGTCAAATCACATGTCATACCAAGAACCTGGCAAATGTGCATTGGAATAAGAATAGACAGCCAGCAGACACATACTGAGATTACACCCATGTTGGGGGAAACTAAGAAGGATTTTAAACTTTCCCCCAAAGAATACTTATGTGAGCAATTATAGACATAAATGAAAAACTAAATGCTCAGCAAAGAATTTGATGATACAAAGAAGAATCAAAATGAGGTTAGTTTATTTGCATGACAAGTCATAACAGTTTTTCAGTCATTCATGGTTTGTTTTACAACATTAATTACCCTTGATTAATTAAACAATTCTAATATCTTAGGAATTCCTTTCTTATTGTTCCATTCACCCAACTTATCTATTTAATATTTTTTGCTCCCTTCTCTTTCTGTTCCTGTTATTCCTTAAAATTTTTCTGTATGTAAACCTCTCCTTAGCTTTTTGTATGTGTTTTATATTAAATTTTTTTTACTGACATGCCACTAAGTATCATTTACTCTAGATTCATCCATATTATATAATATTTCATAAATTCCTAATAGTTTTTTAGTGTTCCATAGTAATCCATTGTGTAAATGTACACGCTTTTTCAGCCTTTCATCTGTTGTGATAAACACACCCATCTCTTTGCTATTTTGTAAATGTAGCAATGAACATGGAGTGTGTATGCTAGTTTGTGTCACTGTTCCTTTTTTTCCCCCTAAGGCAGTTGCTGGATCAAATGGTATTTTTGTTGCCAACTTTCTGATGAAGTAATGCTTGCCACAATGGTTGCACCATTTTACATTCCCACCAGCAATATATAAGGGATCTACTCTCCACACTTTTGCCAACATTGTTGGTTTTTTTCCTGCTTTGTTGAGCTGTGCTGTTGGGGACTGGTATGAGATGGTATCTCATCATTTTGATTTGCATGTCCATCATAACAGGTGTTCATAAAACAACCCTATAGCCAATGATCTTGAGCAGTTCTTCCTGTTTGTTGGCCATCTGAATATATCCTTTGGTGAAATGTCTGTTAATGTCCTTTGCCTATTTTGTGATTTAGTTGATTGTCTTCTTTTTTTGTTGTTAAGGTATTGTTATATTTTAGAAATGAGTCCTTTCTCAGATGTATCATTGCCAAATATTTTTCCCCAGCCTGTAGTCTCTCTTTTTACTCTTCTGGAGTCTTTAGCTTCATATAAATATTTAATTTTATTACATCCAAATTATCTAATGTATTTTCTATTAATTGTGCATGTTCATGTTCAGTTATACTTGATAGTTTATTCATGCCATAAATCAGGATGCCTATATTCTCCTCAGTTTTTTTTCCTTTGATGATCTCTATAATTTTAGATTCTACACCTAGATTCTGTATCAGTCTTATGTTAGCTTGTGTATATGGTGTGAGATATGAGTCTTGTGTCAGTTTTCCACAAATTTGGGTTTGTTGGCACCACCAAATGACAATTTTAGAATTGAAAGATGTAATAATGAAATACAAAATATAAGTGATGGGCTCCACAGCAAAATAACAATGCCATGGGGAAGAATCAGCTAATTTGAAGTGAGAAATAACCTGCCCAATAGATAGAAAACAAACAGGAAGTAAAGAAACAGAACCTTAGGAACTTGAGAGACTTTAACAAGTGAGGAGAGAAAAGATAGGATGAGAAAATATTTTAAAAGTCCTTACTGTCTAGTTCCCAAATTTAGTAAAATATCTAAACCTACAGTTTCAAATATTGACCAAGTCTCATCTAGCAAAATTAATCCCCCAAATAGTCATAGTAAGATATCTCATATTCAAAATAAAAATCATAAAAACAGAGATAGGGGTACAAACTTAGAAGTTGTTTGGAGTTGTTCTGATATAAAAACAGACTACTTTCAACTGAAGACATCTGTTCTTTTTCATTAATTTCCTATTAAGGGGATTTTTTTAATATATATTTTCTTACAATCATTCATATATATTGTATTTCATGCATTTACCTTGTGTTTTATATAATCTTCAGTTTACATTGTTCATGTTTTTGTTGTTAAGTGCCATTGAGTCATAGACGACTCATAACGACCCTATGAACGAAAGTCCTTGACATTTGCGTGTCTTTCATCCTTGCTCCTGGTTCATAGGGTTTCCGGAGGCAAGCTGTTTACGGAAGTGGATGCCACTCCTGCTTCCAATTTGTTCATATACATTGTGTTTTATACAATCATTTAGATACATTGTATTTTATATCATTAATTACTATTGATCTGTTCTATTACTCCATCTTTTCAAGTCCTTATTGAATCTTTCATCACAACCATCCCATGTGCCCTAGCTTTGCTCTCCTGGTGATTTCTTCCCTTCCCTTATTCCATCTCCTTTCCCTTTTTTAAAAAATTATTATTATTTTTTGTGTGTGTACCATCAAAATGGATCCAATGGTACAGGAGGAAATTACCCCTCCTTCTCCAGCAGAGCATCTGGTGGATTCGAACCACACTCCTCTGGGATTGCAGTGCATCTTCTTGCCACTAAACCACCAGAGCTCCCTTCCTTTTCCCTTTTGAACATTTATACACATTTTGCTTAATTATCCTCCTGTTTCAGTATTATGCAGTATTTGTCCTTATGAGACTGTTATTTCAGTCAGCATAATACTCTCTAGACTCTCCGTGTTATATAGTATTTACCAAATAATTGTTCCTTAGTGCTGCATCATATTCCATTGTGTAAATATACCACAAATTTTTAATCCTGAGTTCTCAGTTTTGAGAACTGAAGCTAGAAGATGGAGAAAACTAATAAAGAGACACCCCAGAATAAAGGTTCTAGGTTGTTGAACCCAGAAAATGTCTTTAAATAACGTCCTGGGTGGAATGAGGATCTGTTCAACAGGACAGTTGGCGTACTTGGTGACTATGTCTCCTACATAGTAGAGATCTGAGTTCTTTCTTTGAATAGTGAGAAAGGATATACCTTATTCTACAGCTCTGTCTTCTGGGCACAGAGAATTTATATTTAGACTGATAGAGAAGGTAATGAAGTAAACCAAATTTCTGTCATTTTATAATAATGGAAACAATTTAGTTAACCTTTAGAAGGAATTAACCTTTTCCTTATGATATCCAGGAATTCTGAACTATCACCTTTATATTGAGGACTGTATTTAGTTTTGGATGTAGTTGTTGTTATTAGGTGCCCTTGAGTCAATTATGACTCATTGCAACCCTGTGGAAAAGAGATCTGAACCTAGTCCTGTCCTATATCATCCTAACACTTTCTGATACACAAGAGCCCACTGCAGCAGTCACCACATCAATCCACCTGGTTGAGGCTCTTCCTCTCATTCACCAACCCTCCACCCTTCCCAGCATCATGTTCCTCTCCAAGGAACAATATGTCCATAGTATGTGAGGCAAAGCTGCATCATTCTGGCTGCACCCTCTCCAAGACATATTGGCCAGACGTTGAATACTTTTTATTTGTCTTTTCAGAACTCCACAGTGACAATTGAAGAATTCCATTGTAAGCTTCAAGAGGCCACAAACTTTCCTCTTCGTCCTTTTGTGATTCCATTCCTCAAGGTAATTCTATGAAGTAACTGCTAAATGTGGTTTATCATCACTTTCTAGAATCTCTGTTTTGTGATATAAATTAGGATGAAGTGCTACATTTTTATTTCATTTGGGCTGGCAAGAGATTAGTGTCATTTGGTGATAAACTTCGTGTTTGTTGAGATAGGATTGTCAAAAACTTTGAGTTGTGATCTGGTGTGCAGATACTTCTGGGAGTACACAGAAGGAGCATTCGGAGAGAGGGATTAGGAAATGAGTTCACTAGGTAGAGGGATAGGGAGGAAGCTTGGCCCTTAGTAGAGGAGGTAATTGGATGTAGAGTCTCTTGGATATGGCCAGAACTTGAATAGTTTGTGTTGTCTGAGAGGAGACTGATAAAAGACAAATCTTGTAGATTAGACACCCTCTGAGGCAGAAGAGGCGTTGGGAGCAAGTGATTGGGCCTTCCTGTTGTCCAGGAACAAGCAGAGTTTCTTTCTGTTGTGCATTAGGGTTGCTATGGGTTGGATCCAGCTCACTGACACATAACAGCATCACACCTCCAGCACCTCCAGCTCGCTTGCTTTTCTAATAAAGTCCCCTGGTGTTAATGTTACCTAAACAGAACTTTTGGTACACTGTTTACTTGATAAGTAATACAATGTTATAGTCAAATTGAGTATGTTTTTTCCCCAAACTTCTCTATTTTAAGTAATTTCATTTTCACAGAAAATTGGTACTAATACCGTAAAATTCCTGCATAGCCTTTATCCATACTTACTAAATGTTAACATTTTACCACACCTGCACTAGTGTAGTTAATGGCAGCTTTTTTGGCTACCATCTGGGTGTCCTCAGTATATCACTGTTTTAAAACATTCACTAATTATGGTACCTGCTAATTTAACCCTTGATGACAGGATGACAGTTAACTCAATCAGGAAAGTAACATTGATGCATCTGTAGACTTCATTCAGCTTTTACCATTTGTCTCATTAATAGTCTTTGCAGCAGTAGAAAATTTAATAGCGTCAAAAAAGTTGGTCCTCTTACTGAGACAATGATTATAGTTTTTAAGAACTTTTCCCTCCATCCCCCACACTCCTGCACTGGGTAAAGCATTACAGACAGAAAGTGCATGGTTCTCATGGGCACAGCTTGAGCTGTGGCTCTGTTGTAACATCATTGAAGCCTCAGCATCTCAGGACCGTCTGTGGAGCCTTTTTTTAGCCCTTAAACAGCTGTGCTCATTCTATCTTGTTCGTCTTTCTTACTGTCAAAACCTGTAGACAGTTATTTCTCCATGACCCCAGAATCGAAAAAGATTGTGAAATTTGTGTTAATAGGAAGCAGCATATTTCTTTATTCATCAAAGGGCAGGTGTCACAGATGTAAAGATCTGACATTGTAAATTTTTTTTTTCAGTAAAATTTTTACACTCACAGCAAAATTGAGGTTATAGAACAGAATACAGCTCTTAAAAAGTGTTTGTTATGTAGTCAGATTCCCTATTCTTAACTCTGTTATTTTGGAAAACAGCATGAGGTAGGTTTTTATGGCAGCTTTTTGGCTAGCATTAGGGTTTTGTCGATATATCATTACTTTAAAACAGTCACTAATTATGGTGCCTGCTGAATTAACCCTTGGTGAAGGGATGACTCCTTTCATGGATTAAAGCTCTCCTATCCAAAAAAACCAGAACAAAAACCTAACTTCTAATGATCTTTCACTTGCTTTTCTATTTTCATGGGGATAAAGGTTTCTATTATGGATAGGCTTACTCTGAACTAACTGTAGGTACATAAGAGAAAACCATCTTTTTATTTTATAAATTATTTATTTGTAGAAAAGGAAGAGAAATACAGGAAAAGTCAATTTTGTATGAGAAAACCATCTTTTTATTTTATAAATTGTTTATTTGTAGAAAAGGAAGAGAAATACAGGAAAAGTCAATTTTGTATTTGGATAAGGTGTAATTTTGCAGTTTCTTTAAAATGTGTAGGAAGACCCCCAGTGCATTGAATTGACACAGTGACTATAGCAATGGGCTCAAGTATGTCAGAGATTATGAGAAAGGCACAGGACAGAACAGGGAATCTCTTGTTCATATGGTCATGAGTTGTACTCGACTCAACATCAGCTAACAACAACCGCAAGGGTTTTTGGTATTTAGAATTTGTCTCCACTGAAGGTTTTCCCCATTTACAAGCTAAAGAATAGGGTCTGTTTAGAGAGCCACACCGTAAAGTAGCCTCTGCCCACAGCAACTGTGTCCTCAAAGCCTACTCTAAACCTCACTGCCTTCTTTCCTGACACCCCTCCTCCTCTTCCTCAAAAATCCTATGGTGTAACCAAACCAGAATAATCCCCATGGTGTAACCACACCAGAATATTGTGGCAGCTGTCACAACAAACAGTGCTATTCAGAAATACAGGGAACTCTGCTGAGTTAATGGTAGGGACTTGCACTACCAAGGTACATGGATTGAATCAACCACCTGCTCTGTGGAAGAAAGTCTCCTCCCATTCATTTACTGCCTCTGAAAACTCCCTGGGGTCAGCTATGGGTCTATTCTGATCCAATGATGCACAATAACAACAATATCAGATAGGGCAAGGTTTCAATCTATTGTTCATAGGGTCTATATGAATCATATTCAACTTGATGGCACCTGACTAGTCAAAGGCAGGCTGGGGTTAGAAGAAAAAACCAGAGCTCACAGTCTGTACAAGTGGAAAGAATGGATTTTTCCAGCTCCCTTTTAGGCAATTTTAATAATTCTTTTAGTTAACTAAAGTTTTTTAAAATATCCATTTAAAAATTACTCTGTTGGCCAAACATTGACTAAGCTCTGACTCTGTATGAAGCTGCAAAGATGGATAAGGCACACAGTTCCTTCTTAAAACAGTGTACATCTTCTGGAACAAAGAAACAAGTTAAATCTTCTAATAATACAAATATAGTGCAATAGATAGTACTTTACTTACAGAAGAGACATGAAAATTAGACTGACAAGTAGAGAGGGCTTTATTTGTGTTAACTAACGAGTTTGTGAAAAATCTTTGAGGTATTGAGTTTGATAAAAGATAGAGAACCATGAAAACAGCCTTCCAGCCTCTCCCTCTTCTTTTCAAGGCCAACCTGCCCCTGCTGCAGCGAGAACTGCTGCACTGTGCTCGGGCTGCCAAGCAAACCCCATCTCAGTACCTGGCTCAGCACGAACACCTTCTGCTCAACACAAGTATAGCATCACCTGCTGACTCTTCCGAGCTGCTCATGGAGGTGCATGGAAACGGGAAGAGGCCCAGTCCCGAGAGGTGAGCAGAGGAGAGCAGTGTTGTCTTTTTTTGGAACCACTTCAACCAAGAGAATTACATTTCTGTGCTAGTAGGTAGGTATAGTTCCTTGCTTTGTCCCAACAGTAAGCAGTGGAATAAATCTGAAGTCTGTTAAGGCATTCTCAGACATGCATTTTTCATCCAAAAATTCTTCAGATGACTTTTACATTCCTACTGAGAAAGTACTCTGGAATATTTTTTATGTCCCCTGCTCAAGAACCACAAGACATACAATCAGCTAAAGGAGTTGTGAGAGTTCTACCACATGCACACACACCCCCCAGTATGTGAAATCTTGCAAAAGTGTAACAGTCATTGATACTTGGTCAAAGATAGTAGTCAGTTTTTTACAGTTGAACTTGATTGACTGACAGCTTTACCAGTGCACAAGTAGATTGATTATGTAATCCTATAACTCATCTCCACAGAACAAATTTGACCTCAAAACATTCTTAAGCATAGTTTAACTCTCTAAACCTATTACATAAGTTAGTGCTGTCATCATCTTTGTCTCCTTTGCTTCATGAGGGTTAGCTGTTACTGCCTGCTTATGAATTTATTTGCCTTCTCTATCTAGAATAAATCAGCAATTTACCTTATCTCACTGATCTCTAAAGACATTTCCTTTCAGTTGATAGCTCTTGTACAGTCATGCCTTCCTGCTTTTGAAAATACATAGGGCAAAATAGGTGCTCAGAAAATGTCTATATGAACATCTGTTGACAGACTCAGAGATTTACCTCTGGTTTTTCTACAGGAGAGAAGAGAATAGTTTTGAAAGAGATACTATTCCTCCTGAGCCTCCTGCCAAGAGAGTTTGTACCATCAGCCCTGCTCCCAGACACAGTCCTGCTCTCACTGTGCCCCTCATGAATCCTGGAGGCCAATTCCATCCCACTCCTCCACCTCTTCAGCACTACACCTTAGAAGATATTGCGACCTCCCACCTGTATCGCGAACCTAACAAGATGCTAGAACATCGAGAAGTTCGTGAGAGACATCACAACCTTAGTAAGTGTCACAAAGTAGCATAATGATGATTTCCCTGCTTATTTTTTGGTTTTGATATTTCAAAAGTAATGTCATTACTTGACATGTTGTGGATCTCATTGTAAATTTATCTCACTTCCTAACTTAATTACTACTGTTATATGATTGAGTTGAGATTACTGTAAATAGTCTCCACAGTAAGTCAAAGCATCTTATTAAAGTTAGCAAGATTAAAAGTGTTAAGTGGGAATTAAAAACTTGAGAACTATACACTGAAATACTTGAAAATAAGAATATCATATCTATAACTTACTCTCAAATGATTCAGAAAAAAATGATAAAGTGAGATAAAATATTAATATTTGGGAAATCTAAGTGATGATTACAAGGAAATTTTTGTACTATTATTGCAAATTTTCTTTAAGACTGTTTATTTCAGAATAAAAAGTTTTTAAAATTAATTGAGAACTATATAAAATATGTAGTCATGAGAGGGAAAGACCTAGACATTAAGGTCAGAAGAATGAGATTGTCTAAATTTTAGTCTTGGCCCTGCATCATAATTAGCTGTGTGATCTTGGGAAAATTACTTAGGCTCGCTCTCTTACCCATAGACTGCTCTGTCTGAAATGGAAATAACATTACCCCTGCTAAGTTGTAATTAAGCTTACATTTGGGGTGCCTGGTTTATTAATCCATTTTAAATTTAGTAAGAAACAAAAAGATTTCCCAACAGACTTTACACAAAGTCAGTTTGGGACACAACTCTACCTTGTGCTTTTTTGTATTCATGGCCTCATAGGAGTTTACTATATATAGAAGGGTATTTGATATTTAACTCTGAGCATGTGTCAGGACATAGTACCAAAGGGATGGTGGTTTGCAGAGTTTTCCCTGCACTTCCTTTTGTGTGGTACTCTGTGGAGTAAAAAAATTACAGCACATTTTGCCTTTGCCATGCCTGATTTTAGCTCCCTGCTATCCTTCAGAAGCTTGGACTTCAGGGACATGGCTTCATGCAGTGGTAGCTGGATGGTGGAGGCCGAGGTTGCTGTGGAGTTCACAGTTGCCAGTATTTACTGAATTTTATATATCATTTAGATTGTGTTGTACTTAACTAGTCTCATTTCATTAGCTCAGCAATCCAGTTTTCTTTTTTTTTACAGATGAGAGATTAAAGAGCTGTGGCCCAGCACCTAATTAGCAAAAGGTAGAGATACTTGCCTCATGCCCAAAGCTTTTATACTTGCCGGTGTTTTGAGGCTTCTCTTAGCAGTTGTCCAGTGTAATTCTGTCCCTTTCCCTCTTTGTATCTTTTTATCCGTAGGCTTATTATTAGTTTATTTTCTATCTATATTCATTTTTCTGAAAGAAATAAAAAAAATAAACTACCTAATTGCAGTTTTTTTTTTTCATTGTAAAGTGTATTCTTCCAACATTTACTAAAATTCCCAGCAGATCTCTGTGGTTCCTTTCCTTTCATTCTCCCTTCCTGCCTTCTGACCTTTGTCCTTGGCAAAATGTTTCCCTTGTAATCTTATGTGGTTGATTTTTCTAATCGATCATCTCTATTCTTGATTTAAGTTTGTGTCCTTAATTTCCCCTCATCCTCTTTTGTAAACCTATACCCTTCTACAATGATTTGTAATATACTGAACCATTCATTTCCCTCTTCTTCTCTTTCTGAAACAAATATAACATCCCTTTTACTGTCGTAAAACGTAATTCATAGATACTGTATCTGTCTTTACTTCATCTTATTTGGATCCACAGTCAACACTAGTGGTAGTAGGTAGTAGTCAGGAAATCAAAAGACATATTGCATTGGAAAAATCTGCTGTCATGAACCTCTCCAACGTGCTAAAGAGCAACAGTGTCAGTTTAAAGACAAAAGATGCACCTCATGTAAACCTTTTCAGTTACTTCCTGTGCATCTGAAAATTGGAGAGTGAATAAGGATGACAGAAGAATTGATGTCTTTGAGTTGATGTTAGAGAAGAATACTGAATAGCCTAGGAACTTCCAAAAGAACAAACAAGTCTGTCTTGGAGGAAAAACAACCATCATGTTCCTTAAGAGACAAGAATAGTGAAACTTTGTCTCACATACTTTGAGTATGGGGTCAGGAGAGGCCAGTTCTTGGAAAAAGCTGCTGGGAAAGGTGGGAATGTCAGGGAAAAGAAAGGAAGACGCTCCACAAAATGAATTAACAGGGACTATGTCAATGGGCTCAAGTATATCAAAGATGATGAGAATGGCAAGTAATTGCAAAGACCATGGCCTACATCAGACGCACCTTCATCTGCAGACCGACAATGTTGCTTCTTCGTACTCTGGAGAGGTCTCTGACAGCAGATTTTCCAAGTGCAATTAGTCTTTTGATTTCCTTACTTCTTGTTCCAAAAGTGTTGATTGTGGAGCCAAACAAGCTGTAATTGTTAACAGTCTCAATCTCTTCTCCATCTATCATGGTGCTGCCAGTTGGCCTAGTGATGAGAATCTTTGTTGTCCTTGACTTTTCTGGAGCATGCACTTCAGGTCCTCCTCAGTTTCAGCTAGCAAGGTTGTGTTATCTGCATAACGTAGGTTGTTGATGAGTCTTCCTCCATCCTGATGCCACATTCCTCCTCATAAAGCCCAGCCTCCCAAATGATCTGTCCTGCATATAGATTGAAAAGGTATAGAGACAGGACACATCCCGGACACTCCTTTCCTGATTTTTGTACCATGCATGTTTGCTTGCTCTGTTCTGAGGACAGCTTCCTGGTCTGAGTATAGGTTTTGCATAAGCACAGTCAAGTGTTCTGGAATTTCCATTCTCCTCAAGATTAGCCACAATTTGTTGTGACCCACATAGTCAAATGCCTTTACATTGTCATTGAAATACAGACATTCCTCTGGTATTCTCTGCTTCCTGCCAAGATCCATCTGACATTGGCAGTAATGTCTCTAGTGCCGCGACCTCTTCTAAACTCAGCTTGGGCTTCTCACAGTTCGAATACTAAGCTATTTATTTCCTTTGTTGGCACTTAAGCGCAGTAGAAGATTGTGGGAATGACACAGGACTGCTTAAGGTTTTAATCTGTTGTCGTGTCATTTTGAATTGGAATTAGTTTTACTTGACATTTGATTTTTTAAATATATAGATGCTATCTCAGTTTTTATTTGCAGTTTGCTGACTACCTACAAATTTTAGTATCTTTTTATAGGTTTATAGGCCATTTGTACGTTCTTTCCTGAGACATACCTGTTTGGTTTTGATAATTTTTGTTTCATTGTTGATTTGGAAAAATTCTTAATACATTCTGAATAGCCGTGAGTCTTGGACCTTCAGTGCCTTTGTTGCTTCTGTTGTTGTTGTTGTTGTTATGTGCCATTTAGTTGACCACAAACCATAACGACCCTATGAATAGCAGATCTGTACCTTGCCCTGCCCTGTGCCAAACACATCATCTCCGATATACTTGAGCCCATTGTTACAGTCACTGTGTCATTCTGTCTTGTTCAGGGTTTTCTTTTTTCACTGAGGTCTTTTTCCATGAACTAACCCTGCTTTACAACTTACCCAAAGTATGTAAGATCAAGCTTTCCTCATCTTTGTCATACAAGGAGCACCCTGGTTGCATTTTCTGCAAGACATATTTGTTTGTTGTTTGGACAGTTCATGGACTTCTCATTCTTCCAGTGCCCCAAGTCACAGGCAGTAATAATTCTTCTGTCATCCTTAGCCTTTGTCCAACTTTTAGATACATAACAAGTAATTGAAAGAACATGAATTGGATCAAGCACACCTTAGTCTTTAAACAGACCTCATTGCTCCTTAGAACTTTGGAGAAGTTCTTGACTGCAGATTTTCCCAATGTAATTTCTTGATTGCTGGTACAAAAATTGTTGATTGTGGATCTAAGTAAAATGAACTTGTTGACAATTTCAATCCTTTCTTCATCTATCAAGATATTTCCTGTTGGCCTAATAGTGAGGATTTTTGTTTTCTTGATGTTGAGATATAATTCATATTGAAGGCTTTTTGTTGTTGTTATGTGCCTATGAGTCGCTTGCAACACATACTGACCCTATGTACAACAGCCCTAAACCCTGCTCTGTCCTGTGTCATTCTCACTGTCTCCGACACACCCACCCTGATTACCCTAGTCACTGAATCAGTCTACCTCATAGAGGGTCTTCCCCTCTTGCATTATCCCTCCACCCACCCAAGTATGATGTCCCTCTCCAAGGACTGATCCCTGCTTGCAACATGTCCAAAGTATGTCAGACAAAGCTTCAGAATCCTTGTCTCCAAGGGGCAGCCTGGTTTAACCCTCTCAGAGATGAACCTGTTCATATTCTTAGCAGTCCATGGTACATTCAATACTCTTAGCCAGCACCACACCTCAAAAGCATCAATTATCCTTCTATCCTTCTTAGTCATTGTTCAACTCTCTGACACATAGCAAGTGATTGCAAAGACCATGGCCTGTATCAGGCGCACCTTAGTCTCCAGAGTGACACCATTGCTCTTCAGTACTTTGGAGCGGTCCCTAACAGCAGACTTTCCCATCGCAGTACTTCTTTTAACTTCCTGTCTGCTGGTACCAAGAGTGTTGATCATGGAGCCAAGCAAACTAAAGCTGTGAACAATCTCCGTCTCCTCACCATTTATCCTGATGCTGCCAATTAGCCCAGTGATGATAATCTTTGTCTTTTTTGTATTGAGCCTCAATCCATATTGAAGGCTGCAGTCTTTGACCTTCTGTAGCAAGCACTTCAGGTCCTCCTCACTTTCAGCAGCAGGGTTGTGTCATCTGCGTAGTGCAGGTTGTTGATGAATCTTCCACCAATCATGATGCCACCCTTCTCCTCATAGAGCCCAGCCTCCCGGATAGTCTCTTCTGCATATAGGTTGAAAAGGTATGGAGACAGGACAAATCCCTGGCATACACCCTTCCCAATTTTGAATCATGCAGCATTTCCTTGCTCTGTTCTGATGACTGCCTCCTGGTCCAAGTATAGATTTCACATTAGCATGATCAAGTGTTCTGGGATTCCCGTTCTTCTCAGAGTTAACCACAGTTTGTTATGATCCACACAGTCAAACGCCTTTGCATAATCAATGAAACACAGGTAGATATTCCTCTGATATTCCCTGCTTTCAGCTAAGATTCATCTAACATTAGCTACTATATCCCTAGTACCACGACCCCTTCTAAACCCAGTCTAGGCTTCTGGCAGTTCTCTGCTGTTGTGCTATTCCATTTGTTTTTGGATTATCTTCAGTAGAATCTTGCTTGCATATGATATTGTTCTATAATTTCCATAAGGCTGTAGTCTTTGATATTCTGCAGCAAACACTTCAGGTCTTCTTTACTTTCAGTGAGCAAGATTGTATCTTCTACATAACATAGGTTGTTGATGAGTCTTCCTCCAATCATGATGCCACATTTATCTTCAAAAAGTGCAGTTAAAAAAAAAATATTAGTTGTAAAAGAAAAAAAAAGGTGGTGTGTTTTCCTGAATGATTTGTTTAGTATACAGCCTAATAAGTATGGAAACAGGATACAGCCTTGATGCACACCTAATTCTTTGTTTTAAAACCTGCAGTGTTCCCTTGCTGTGTTCAGACAATAGCTTCTATAGTCTAGGCAGAGGCTTCACATCACCTTGATTAAGTATTGAAAGAATTGAAAAAATGTGTATTGAAAGAATTCTGTTCTACTGAGTGCTTCCCTTTATCTTCACATTTATTCTCTGGTTTTTACAGGTCTAAATGGAGGCTATCAAGATGAGTTAGTAGATCATCGTTTGACAGAAAGGGAATGGGCTGATGAATGGAAACATCTTGATCATGTAAGACTCTTACATAATTTTCCTCTTTTAAATTCTTTTCTTATCAACAGTTAACAAATGTATGTGCTTAAAATAAACATAATGATAACTTTGTAATATCTTTGGAATGAAGAACTCCAAGATTTCTGTTCTTCTTGTGTATGAGTGACTCTTCTTCTTGAGTAATGTCCAGCTGATTGATTCCATTCAGAAGAACTGAAGTCTGCTTTCTCAGCCTGTTCTTCTTTAACTGTGACATTTTTCTCCATATAGGTAAAGTCCATTTAGAGACAAAGCTCCAAGAACTTGCATGGCATTGTTATCACAGTGTGTGGTTTCATAAACAATAGCATATTTACTTTCTCCTCAGCTAGACACCTGAAAGAGTCACTCTCAACTTGGTGATAGGCTTATTACTTCTATAAAATTTAAGAACACAGTTTTGTGGGTTTGTGTCCCATTTCTCCAGCCTTCTTTCATTTTAAACTGGCAAGTTGCTGAAACAGTTGCTTCATTTTTAGCCTTAGTTAGTTGTTTGCTGTTGTTTTTTTCTTTTTTTTAATAGAATGCTACATTGTTTGAATTGTGTTATATGTAAAGTTTAAATTAATAATAAGAACTTGCCATAAATCATTAAATAAACAAATGCCAAATACATGTAAGAATGCATGTATGTTGAAAGAAAGCATTTCTGTTATAAATTTACTTGGAATACTTTAACAGAGAGATAACATTTTCACCATTTTCTTTGAAGGAACTATGTTATAAAGAAACTCTGGTTGCTTTAACCTTAAAGAATTCAGGTAGCATTTTGAAATCCAAATACATAGGTGCATAGACATTCTCAAAGAAATAGTAAAAAAAAGTTTTCAAATATAACTTATGTTTCTAAATCTTTAAAGTAGGCAAATTTCCATTCTATTTTTACCTGTCTATAAGCTTCATTCTCTCTATCTTTGCGTGTCCTTGGTTTTTCAATGTTGATTGAGCTTTCTCGTCTCATCTCAGCCTTATTTCCTCTCTTGTCCCAGGCCCTGAATTGCATTATGGAAATGGTAGAGAAAACGAGACGTTCCATGGCAGTTCTACGCCGCTGTCAAGAATCTGATCGTGAAGAACTCAACTACTGGAAAAGGCGATATAATGAAAATTCGGAGATGAGAAAAACAGGAAGCGAGTTGGTCTCCAGGCAGCATAGCCCTGGGAGCGCAGACTCTCTCAGCAATGGTAAGAGGAAAGTGTGCAGGGAACCCAGCCTAAATTGGACCCTAGGCACTCACCTGAGATTCTAACAGGGGCTTTTTGTATTTAACATTAGAGGGAGTTGAACCAGAACGTCTCAGCTGATTTTGAAAAGTAAGGGGGACAAATATTGGAGCATTTAGTACTAGTATCCAGTATGCTGAAGAACTGTTAATTCTTCTTTTTGGAAAATGAGAACATCTATGATTTTTTGCTCAGTTTTCAACTCTCCATATACATATACATACA